CATTAGGTGAAAGCTTGACGTATTTTTATCCCACTACAATTTGCGTCAACGATTAGTCCGTTGAAGGTCGTAATTAACGTGCATACGATAAGGATAGCATTGGAAAATGTTCATACGACAGAGCATTATCTGATTGTGAGTCTTCTATGACTTTGAAAATCTTTTTATATTCGCGGAAGGAAATCTCTATGATTATGCAAATAACGGTACATAGTTCTAGGATATTTGATTTTACATGTTTTTCATCTCTCTTACTATCAACGAGATGAAGGTTTTACTAACGAGTAAAATTAAATTCAAATTTGCATATTTCTTTTGTGCCATTTCTTTTCCACGTTCTCTCGATTCTGCCTCGGTTTACCTTGAAATTTCATTCATTCAATGTGCGTCCAAAGTTCGATTATTATTTAAGGATCTGAAAAAAGATCCTATTACATAAATAAGAAATCGCAGGCGCCGACGTATAAGAGTGTTCCAAAATTAATATCTTCGTAATGAAACCTTGAATTAAAATTCTATTAGAGTAAACTCTATATAAAATTAATAAACGAATGTGATTTTGTGAATATTTTATTTCCATGGCTTAGTTTGCGAAAACCCCTTATTTTCGATCACTTATAAAATTATTGATGTCTCGACATTTTCGTCGAGAAAAAATCGTCTCCAAACTATCCCAGGAATCTGCCATTTACTACGAGTTTTGGGACCTTGTGTTCTAAGTTTTTCGGATTGATCGCTGTATTACTATGATAACGACATAATTGTTCGTTACGCGCGATTTCCTCGACTATTACTTTTCACCGCGACGATTTATCGACGATGTACAACGAACTGTGCACATAACGAGCCGGTGCGAGTACATGTGCTTCGACTCGTAACTTACACGACCGAGGAAATGCGCGGTCTTTTCGGTTTCACGGTGGATTACATCATCATCATCATCATCATCATCGCCATCCTGTCGCTGGTTACCTGCCACGCATGATCGCAATGTCATTATCCATTCAAATATACGTACATATACAGGCGATGTTTAGACATTACTTTCATTTTCTCGTTAACGAGAGACCTTTCGTGGAGTCTCGAGTCAGTTTGTTTTTATCGAGAGCTTAATTACAATCTATTATAATTGTTTTCTCTGCAACTTTCTTATAATTTTCCATTGCATATTTTGAACATTTTAATTTACATTTTAAAGCAACTTCTGCTTACGGTTAAATATCTGAAAAGTTAAATCAATCAAATCTTAATCACTCTCTTTAATTTTTGTTTATATGCGTATATAGCTTTGTGATCAAGATAATTTTAAAAATTTGGATAAGAAAGAGATCGATATTCTGATTTCGAATTCTGTCATCGCATGTTCCATCTGTCGGATCGTTATTTTTTTTTTGATTTTGTAACGCATAATTACGGGCTGGTTTTCGTGCAGACATAGAAAAAGAGAGCAAAACAGAGACAGGGAGTCGCCGTCGATTTCCTGATGATAGTTCGACATTATTTAGTTCGTTTTGCAACGTCCATATTTCGCCTACGGCTTTCTTTCTCTCTCAATTGCTTAGATCGTACCGTATCATTACGAAAGCGAATGCCTGATCATTGTCTTTCGTACACTCCCTGTTACGAGTCGGCGCTGCTCCTCTTTGTTCGTTCCTAGTTTTGCAATTCATGAAATGCGATTCGCATATGCGCCTCTTAAATAACGTGTGACGTTCGTATAGATTATAGATAAATATCATACGCCCATATTTAAATACAAGAAGAATGTGAGATAAATAAAAAATAATTAATTACTGTATATTAAAAATAACAGTTTACATATAATATATTATGAAAATTTTTATTGACGTATTTTTAATACAGCTTACTAATTTTTAACTCGTAAATAATTTTATAAAAAAATTGCGTTTATTACATACGCCTATATTTAAATACAAGAAGGATATTAGATAAACAAAAAATAATTAATTACTGTATACTAAAAATAACAGTTCAGTAACATATCATGAAAATTTTTACTGACGTATTTTTAATACAGCTTACTAATTTTTAACTCGTAAATAGTTCTATAAAAAAATTGCGTCGTCTGGTAATAATGAGTTACGAGCATAAAGCTAAGCACAATTATGCGTTAATTGATGATCAGCTTCGCTACACGATCGATAAAGAATTAATAGTGCAATCTCTTACTCGTAGGGTTGGCGTTTATGATAAGAAATTCAGGAGAGGAAATTTACAATTGTTACATAAAAAGTTATTTATGTGATAAATGAATGCTTCAATCGATTCAGCTCTTCCTTTCTTAATGGATCATGCTTGTCTCTTCTCGCGCAAAAATATAGTTTTAGTAGATGATTTTTGCGCTCGTTTCAGCTTACCGACATGTATTTGTTCATACATATATCATGAATGATGGTGCATCGACGAGGAAGAATCTCAGGAATGCACTGCATGAACTGCATCATGTCTCGATCTTTGTAGACGTCTTTATTTGAGACTTCTTCAAATACAATTCGAGCAAGGCTACACTTATTTAGGAAACGATTTACAAGTTCTTATAATAAATTTCACAAGAATCCGAGCTATAAATTTTAAATCTGCATTTTGATTGATGCAAACAACTAAGACGTAATTAATTGAATACTATCAATGATTCTAATATGAAAAGACACACAAAACATGATTTATTTATTTATTTAAATAAATGTATGAATAAATACCTTTATTCTAAAAGGCATGAAAAAAAATGAAATAAAGATTATTTTGTCGTTCAGAAAAACACTATATTTACCGCTAAAGCGGTAAGTGTGGGTTACAATACAATTCATTAGCTGTTCACAGTCGCGTTTGTTTCTTTTTTTCGAACAGTTAGCTGCTCCATTTATTAGACAACCTCTCGCTCTGTTAATTAAGTGCTACCGAGTCACTCGTACATCGCGTTCCCTCGTTCATGGAATTAATTTGTGGGACTCGTTTGCATCGACTGTTAGTCGCAGACGGTAGCTGAGAAATATTCAAGCGGTTTATGCATCTGTTTTAATTTTGCTGCGACCAACTACGACACGTGCGTATTCAGTGAGATTCACGCGATCCATTTCTTTTTTCTTATCTTCTTGTATTTAAAACGTGTATTCTATGCGTTTGTTAAATATATTTATATATTTATAAGTCAATGTAACAAACTATTCTCCATGAATATATAGGTTAATATAAAACTGCGTACACTGAAAAAAATTTATTAAATTTGAATAAATATTTATTTCAATACTGTCAAATAAATTATTTATTTGAAACTTATAATATTTATTTGATATGAAAAATATTTATTTGATACAAGAAAATCCTTTTCAAAACAAATATTTATTTGTTTCAAATAAATGATTCATTTGACAGTATTGAATTAAATATGTATTAATTTAGTCTTTTTCTCAGTGTATATGTATATTATTTATAAAATTCTCTACTACTTGATTTCTTGTTTGATTTTCGAATCTTGGACGATTGATGAAAGTTTTCTGATGGAATAATAATGAAGTCGATTCCAGGCTCAGAATAATATGTACGCTTGCATAATGGTTCTTCTTTTTACATAAATGCCGAATTTTAGCTTGTACGACGTACGATACAAACGTATATTGCATAATAGAGACCGCATTTGCATTTTATATCTAGCTTTCGAATTTGTGATTCGCATTAAAATTGCATTTTACGTATTGATTTTGATTGGTTTCATTTACCCACAGTGTTTAAAAATATTATTTAAATATTTATGTTATTGCTATCATTATGAATTTAAGTTACAAAATAAAATTAAAATAGAATTATAATAGTAATAGAAATAAAAGTTCAAAATTAATGTATAATAGTAAAATATGATAAGTAAATATTGAGCGACTTTGCGAATAAAATATCACGAATTTCGATGTTTTAACGAAGTGTTTACTGTCGAAAATAAATATCATTGAAAAATGTTACATGCTAAATACATTCGTCGCTATTCGACGCACGTGATCACTTTGGCGAATTAGCATCTTCAGTCTAGATTTCTATCCGGCTAGATATCTCGTCGGCCAAATATCTCGCCTAGCGCGACGAAAATTGCACAATCGTGATCTCCCAGTGAAGAAGTAAAATTGTACGATACTATTGTCAAGTTATGTAATTTATCACGGTGATTATGCAAGGAAGTGCCGCCGTTTTGCTACCGTACTCATCATTTCGCCGTTGAAAAGTAGATTTCGCTACAGAGATAATGCAATAAGTATCAGCATCATGTTAAATATAGCTTAATTTCTCTTCATGAAACACAAATCCGGATCGAATATTACGTAGAAAACACAGAAGAAAAAAGAATTTTTTTCTGAAATGTACTTCTCACGGAGAGAATTTTTCATTATATTTTTTAAATTGAAATTTTATTATTTTAATAAAATTAATCAAGCATATTTTATATCTAATTGTGATAGATATTAATATTTTTATAGCCTGTCTATTTCATAATATATATTTAATATTTTTTATTGTGGTGAATATTAATCAGAGAAACTTGTAAAATTCTGCCAATACTATATTGTCCCACAATTATCATGATTTTCAGGATAAATAAGAGAAAATTCTCTCTGTGTATCAGCGTAAAAAAAATTGATACTGATGGTATAAAAGTTTCATATAAAGATACATATTTTTATAGCCTGTCTATTTCATATTATATATTTAATATTTTTTATTATGGTGAATATTAATCAGAGAAACTCGTAAAATTCTGCCAATACTATATTGTCCCACAATTATCATGATTTTCAGGCTAAATAAGAGAAAATTCTCTCTGTGTATCAGCGCAAAAATTGATGGTATAAAAAGAGTTTCTTATAAAGATACATATTAAAATATAAGATATACAACTCTCTCATACAATAAATGATTTGACAAACACGACATATATGATATGCATTATTTCTGGATCGGTCTAAAGGAGTCGATCGGCCTATTATCGATTACAGATTCGCTAGGAGCTGAGGATGCGAGATTGCGCGGGAAGCAGAAGGGCGCGGACTGCTGGCGCTACGAAGACACCGAGGTCTGGGACCGTCGCGGGAAATGACCATGACGAGCGTGGCTGTCGCCCCGGGTAGCCTCGGCGCACCACCATCTATGCTCAGCCCCCAGATGTATCATCTGCAGCAGGGCCTGGGCCCGACATCGAGCTCGCCCGCTTCCGGCAAGGTGAGTCGAAAAAAATCCCACCTATATATCGATACATCGCACGCTCGATATATTCGATTTATGGAGCCGCTATCTATAGAGGATAGGATGCGCGGGAGAGCGTGTCGGATGCGAGACGCCTCTTACGCGGGCGGCGTTTTACATAACGGGACAAAACCGAGGTTGAAATCGTGGAACCTCATCCGCGGCCGGTTATTACGAGATGCCGAGAGCTGGGCTCTCTCTATCGAGGAGTTCTCTCCACGAGGGCTTTTCTGCTGTTGCATCTCTTTGCGCGGTGTAATCGAACGAGGAAAGATCGATCGACGATTTTTTTTTCTTTTTCACGATACTTCGCGAAACATTAGAACGCTCTTATGACGGTGATATGTAACGTAATATATTGAACACGAGATGACGCACAAGATGCGACCGGGAAAGTTTTTCCATGGGACTGCATTTCTCCGCGTAATTTAATTATCGCTAGAAGCAAAACGAAGTTTGAGTGTTCTCTCGTTTCATTTCCTCGAACGGAAAGACTGTCAATAGCTTCTCAATATGTTTTGTGCGGCAAGAACGTCTTTACATAACGATGGTACTATATAATTTTCTTGGATACAAAGCACTTATATGGCATGTATTTAAAGGGAAAACCAATATCGTGGCGTATTAGAGTTTTTTTTTGCAAAAAGCAAATTGATCATTTTACGGATATTTTCATGAACGGAGAAAGAACGGTGCGGTAACCCATGGCTGGCGTGTCAAAATAGGGAAAGTACATACTCGGATGGGTTAATTACTGGGTATAAATCGCTTGCGTAATGTGGGGATGAATGAACGTGACGTGGTTGTTGCCTATCTTAGATCACAGACTTTTTCGTACCTCCACTCTCTTTCTGCCTTTATCCTTTCTACATTTTCTTCCGCATCATAGTATCCTTTTCAATGATGTTGATGGACGTTAATGTAGATAATAATTCAATTTTTGGCATGTAATATATAGTTCAATTTGGTCAAAGAATTTTTGTTTTCGTTATAATTAAAATGAGCATATTATTTTTTTTTATTTTATTAGTTTTTTATAAGCTTTATAAAAAATATATTTATAATTTTTGTGTAAGCATAAATTATGAATAAAGCAATTTATATTTACGTAATAGATAATGCTATTTTAAATTTAACATTATTGTGATTATATTGAGCCTAATATAATTTTTATATATAAAGCTTATAAAAGTAATTATAAAAGAGTCTAAAATAGTATAATATAAAAGAATAAAAAAAATGATTAAAAATGCAGAAAATTATTTTTTTCGATGTATATTTTTCTTAATTTTGGTAACAAATTGAATACGTCTACACAATCACATTAACATTATTTAAGGTTTCAAAGAAACTTTGTTAGTGAAGTGAAATCTAAAAATATAAATAAAAACACATCTTGGAACAGCCTGCTGTAAGAAATAATCATGTTACGATATACGTTACGCTTGTTGATCACAAGCACGCTGCATAACGATATGACACTTTGTTGATTTAATTGTCATTATCGATGATTAATAAACAATTCGTTTTTCAATTACATCGCAATGAGTCTTGCTATCAATCAATTTGTTTTTAAACGACATGGATATTCGCGTTTTACAATGATAGAAAATGGCAGGCGAAGTGTCGCTTAAACATCCGCCTCGATAGAAAATCTGTCAGACTATCGCTGACAGTCGAACTTATGACTCTGCGGTTTGAATTTCTATATTCCTGTCTACATTGTGAAGAGACACACTTGGACAAAATTTACGATAGGGTTTGTGGTATTTGCTTCATGTTTATTTCCATTAAAGAAAATGCTTGGATCTTTAAACGATCGTTCATCCAAGTAAGAATCTTTCTCTGTGAATCTCGATTTTTTAAATACAAAATGTCAGGATTCTTAGAAAGTTGTCGGTTATTTATAATACCAGCAACAAATGTTGTATAAAATATTTTACAAATGTTAAAAGAAAATAACAATTATTTAGCACACAGTAATTTTAATTAATAATTGTATGCATATTTATTTTTAAATTATATATAATTATATATATATATATATATATATATATAATATTTAAATTAAGATATTTATAAAATTTATATTCCAATTTTATTTTAGGAACTATTTTTATTCCAATTTTACAAACATAATACGATGAAGAAAACTTGGCGCTGCATAAAAGCAGAAACTTTGAAACAGAGAACGTTTCGCGAAGGACAACTATCATAATGAGACATAAGAGCTTCGTGCTCTGATTTCTGTCACTTGAACAATGTCGCTTGGCTCTCCTGGTTTTATCTTAAAACTAGTCACCACCGATTATGACATCGAATACTTCATATTCGCCTCGGGTTAGTCGCGATGATACGCTATGTCCGGAGAAAAGACTATCTCGAGTGTCGACCGGTTCACAAAGTGTCGCAAATGTGTATCTTTCGTAGACTGTTTCTAATTAGAATAATTATATACGATTTACAGACATATGTTATATTTTTTAACAAGTTCTGTGACTGTTTCTTTTTTTTAAGCAACAGTGTTACATTATTACGCGGTTGTATCTCGTAACTACAATAGTGAAAAAAAATGTAATGTTTTATATAATATAAATAGAATGTACTGCTTCTTTTAATAATGCGATCGACGTACACGTCGAGCAACGAACCGATAGACTGCCATGTTTGAAATTGCAATTTAATTGTGCAATTTATCATGACAAGTCCGTGTAGCGTGCAGCGACAAGACTCTGACTTTCTTTTTTTCTGTAGATTTGCAGTCTCTTTTTCACGAATAAAATTTCTTTTTTTTTCTATATCGTCCAGTGAAACTACTGATTTTAACGTTGTTGGTCTCGCTCGGAATGCAATTCTTTAAAGAATTTCACAAATTTTTCAGAGAGATTTTGTTTATGACTTTTTTGCCAGATTATCATAAATGCCCTAAAAATTGTGGTAACCATTATAAAAATAATTCTATATATCTCTCGATCATGTAAAATGTGTATTATATTTTAATATTTTGTCGCTAATTAAATTTTTTTCGATATTTATCATATGATTTACTTTGAACGTAATCGAAAATTTTGAAATTTCTCATATAACATCGATATTTAGAAATTGCAAAACGTGTGTTAAAATATTTAATACTTGCCGTAAAAATGACGAATTTACGATAAACAAAGAAGCTTGACGTAGAGACCTCCCTGGCTTATATTTACCCGCACTGATTTATACAAGCAGATTTATATGTATCATTACTTCGCGCGCATGTAAGTATTATTACACTTTCCACCGCATCGACAAGTGTTACGAATGAGGATAAATTTGCGCAACTCTGTAAGTAATCTCGCACGTTTATGCGGCAAAAGGTTGAGGAAAGGAGAATGATACATGAATCGCGAGGGTCTAAGACAGGAACGAACTTTACGATCGTACATGCATAAATCACTGCATCCACCGCATACACAAATACACACATACACTTCACGTATAGTACCAAGCAAGTTCCTTAATTACGATTGGGAGCTGCCTAAAAATAAATTTCAAGCAACCGCGAAAAAACATTTGGTCGATGACAAGACTGCGCTCTGTAATTTACGTTCAATCCGGCTGAAGGTTTTCCCAAAGCGTTACGTGAACGCTCTCATCGAGAATCGCGAGATCTAATTGGATGATCGGGATTGTAAAAAATCGCTCACAAGTCGATCATAAAATTGTATTTACGTACAGCGTATTTCGTAAGATGTTATTTTAGCAACAGCTGTACGGCGCGCTTCCTCTTTCAGACACGATGGAGAATTATTAAGGAGTATTTTCGTATCTTAAATCGAGCGTTAAAGAGAGGATGATCCTCTCGTTCCGCCTTCAAGTATATATATATATATATGTTCATCTCCGTGTTTGGAAAATAACGTTTGAAAAGAAACTGACAGTGCCTGTCATAATTTGATAATCTTTATTTATCATCAATTTATTGGATGAAAATAGCGAACCGATGACAATGCGTTTTTATCAAGAGAACTTGACGATTCAACAAGTTATATACGCTTCTTCTTACATCGACAAACTACCGGATTGCTCGTTAGCTATTCTGTAATGTCTAGGACTTATTTAGGCGACATTCTGCTACGCTACGTGCGACCGGTAACAGTTTATATAACTATTCGAGCATACGAAGAACTTCTTACAGGCGCTCAACTTTCCACGCTCCTTCGAGCGTTCCCAGTTCTTGCGAGCTATAAATCGAGTAGTTTAGTTAGTATTTGGTCCACGTTGTGCTACGCGCGGGCGAAACTTTCGACATTCTTTATTCCATCACAATTTCTTACCTTCAATCGTGACTTTATTCATTTCGCGTTTCACAAAGCGTGATTTATAATATCTCTGTTGACAGAAAATATTTACATGGACTTATTTTATATATTAATTTTTTGTTTACCATACACTATATCTTTTCGATAGAAAATATGCTGTAATTTTACATATTTTATATATATTTGCAAATGTCAGTTAACAATTGTGTAACAGTTTTTTATTTTTATATTTGTCTTATAGCTTTAAGATGGCATCTGGCTATTTAAAGATACAAATATTTGTCAAAATTACGTAAAATCAAGATGTTTGATTTTAATTACTGCAAAATGTGCAATATTTTTTGGGTTTTGTGATATGAGATTTTATTCAAGTTTTACATACAAATATTTACATTATTTTACAATTAATAAAAAAAGATTTTTGCTTGTAATGATTATGGTTTTTATTTTATAACTATATCGTAATAAGACTGAGGAATAATAATACTTTGTCACGTAAGCTGAACCTAATCTTTCAACCTGATCTATTCATTTGATAATTTCATTTCTTTGAAATTCAATCGCATATGGATATCTAGTATTGCACATTACATAAGATGTTATTGGCACACATGTACATTGGATATTTAATATACATCGTCTACTTACTCTAATCGTGTTCTAAGAGATTATTAACTT